ATAACACGGTCTCACAAAAGATTATGAAACCGAAGCACAGAATAAAGGCCTTTCAGATGATCATCTTCGAAGTTCTTTATCCCTACACGAGTCGACGCCGCCATTCACAAATTACGGCCCGAAGGCACGTACAGTTCGGTGCACTTTGTGCTTGCCAGCGTCCACGAGGCCTATATCATTTGCATTTTCATGCAAACATGCAATTCGTTCGTTTCCAATGACACAACCAGTCAATATCCAAAGAAGAATGTTCAAAACCTAACCTAACCAGTTATTTTAACACTCACACATAAAACATAGTCGTATGTATGCATGAGACGCAATTGGGTCGCATTAGAATGCTACAAATTTGAACTACACAGCACCTTCAATTATACCATCGGTGGTTTTATTTTTGATATTGAAATTGAGAATTGAGCTCGACGATGTTCTGGAACGAAAATTAAAGTGGCATTCCACGGAATTTGTGTGATATAAGTGTTACAAATAACTGGGAAAACCTATAAGCTGCATCGGTGAGCGGTATATATCAGCCCTGGACCTTAAAAGCATATAGGATCATTTGCATCTACCCCTTTAAGTAACCTTCCGAACTATCATCCAAAAGTATTACTTGGATTTAAAAAATTGGACGTGTACACTAAACATTCCGCAAAATTATTCCGTCCAGCTTGCTGTTCATTTAGAAGAACTCAAAAAATGTTTAGATGATTTCCAATGATCAGTCAGTATTGGCGGATTTTTGGAAATAAAGAGTGCTTGTGACGAGATCGTGTTTCGTTATCAAAGGTTGTGCATGGTATTTAGCTGTTTTTCTCAAAAACTCATTACTAATCCATTACATTGATGAGAACAAAATGTATGTTGGTCTTCCAAAATCCTTGTTTTTCGTTATGTCTCCAAAAATAGGAGCGTAGGAGTTACTTATTGTGAACTTCTTTTGATGTCATCCCGCATAATTAGTGGTATTAAACGGACCCGCTCAGCTTGCTTAATTCGCTGACCGTACTCGGATCTGACGACCATTATAATGTGCTCTGCAATTTTTATCTCGGGGGAGTCGGATGTGTTTTTGCGCGGCTTGCCGGCCGCAATGGTAGACGCTGTGGGAAAACGAACAAAGACGACACGAACAGAAGACGTTGTTGATCCGTTGCAAATTGCACTTGTGCGCCGACTCACATGGCACGGCGATCATCATGAGCGTCCATTTGGGTAAAGACTGGAACATTAAAATTGCTTCAGTTTACAGAAACTGCAAGGTTTCATCAGAATGTTTTAACTAAACTAAAATTATAACCATTAATATGCAAACACCAATGGATCGGTGGGGACATTAAATTGTCTTGCTTTAACAACCAGCGTATGCTGGTCTTCCGTCTGAAAAAAAAAATACAATAAAGAAACGCAATTTAACCCCAACACTATTCCTTTCTCCATTTCCGGATCTGTGGTTGGTCAAAAACACCAATTCTTTTTTTTGTTTTGTCTCCAGTTAAACCTCTTTTATTCTTAGCCTATATATTAACAAAGAAACGCCGGTCTTCGTGGCACATACAGACACAACCTTTATTTATAAGGTCTAAGTCTCGTGAAATGGTAAATTTCACAGGGATTTCTGTTTTTAGGTTTTGGACAAGATTTTTTGGTGGTCCGCTCATAAGTCCGACGCCTCATAGGTCCGACGCCTCATAAATCTGACAAAATCGCGTCCCCTAACCAAATGAAGGCCCATAATTTCGACGCCTCATAGGTCCGACAAAATCGCATCCCCTAACCAAATAAAGGCCCATAAGTCCGACGCCTCATAGGTCCGACGCCTCATAAGTCCGACGCCTTATAGGTCCGGCCGCCTCATAGCTCCGACGCCTCGTAGGTCTTGCCGCCCCATAGCTCCGACGCCATGTAGGTCCGACACATTAAACGCCTTGTTTTTCCGACGTTGGACTTATGAGGCGTCGGGTCTATGAGGAGTCGGACCTATCGGGCGGAATAAATAAATTTTATGCCTCATAAGTCCGACGCCGCATTAAGTCCGAAATTTCGGACTTATGAGGCGTCGGACCTACTGAGGCGTCGGACTTATGATACGGCCGCGATTTTTTTGTCAGCTGTAATAGTCGTAAATCTGAATAGAGACGATATAAATTTAGTATGGCAATATTTTTACAAAAAAATGTTCAAGAGGCTCAGAGAATCCTTAGCACGTTTAGGGTGAACTTACTCCATGCACAAAATCAAATCAACGGTTTCAAAGAGAAAGTTGGAAGGGAAAACTAAAAGGGACCTTGAACGCATTGCAGTCGGTGCCTGAATCTCACTTAAAGCTACAGTCCATCATTTGCAGCTATCCATAAAGGCTGACGTAATTATTGTTGAAAAACATACTTGGTTGAAAGATAGTAAGGGGACTAAACTCCCTGTGAAAGTATAAAGGTAATGGACCCCATTGCAAACATCCAAAAGGGAATTGCCAAAATATTATAAAAATATCCTACTTAATTGTACATAAATATAAACATGTAAGCACAGATTTGAATTTAGTTATACTTGCAATCGGTTGCATACCTGTGAATTAGACTTATTTTCCCGAGCGGCAAGCTGGGGATCATACCACAAGAGGTTGCAAGTCTAAACGTGTTAATGAACAGTTTATAGAGGAAATGGTTATAGCTTTACGTCGCGAAAAATGAAGACGCGTTTTTACAGCATGATGTATTTACTGATCTAAAGTTTCGATAACCTGCTTATTTATTGTATTGTCGTTACTCAAATCAGCAAACCAAAAACACCATATTTTTGAATGGTGTATATTACCTTAAGACATGGACCTCGAGTTTTTAGACGCAGCGCTAGAATAAGGAAATCTGTTGTCCATGGAATTTTGGTGGAACAGTTTCTGACTCCAACGCGTATACTCTCTCCCTGTGTGATAGTGTGATAAACAGGTCTTTTTAAAATTCACATGGAAGACAACTCTTTTCCAGTGGCTTTTCACTCTTTTCGAGTGACTTTTGCATCTTTTTGAGCGTTTTTTTCCCACTATGGCCCATAGTAAGACACCACTCTAAAGGACTTAATTAACTTCCACTCTTATTAAAGAGTCATATATTGGGGACGACTTGGAGTGGTTATTCATTCTTTTACATTTAGAGAGTGAGAATGAGTTTTGAGAGCCAGGCTGAAATTTAATTAAGACTTATGGTGGACATGATCAATGAATGGGAGGTTTGCGGTAACACCGTGCGAATAATATCTCGTGTGAGTTGAGTGGGTCTGAGAAGTCGATGAGTTGTGAAGTAATGTACACGCCGATGACATCTCCTGATGACGAGCAAGGCATTATGTTCGAAACTTTGAGTTAAACGAACTGGTCCTTCTCAGAACCGCACAACTCACTAGAGATATCATTCACATGGTGTTAACGCGAAGGCTGAAATGTTATAGCGCTGCTACAAGCAAACGATTTTCTATTAAAAAGCCTCCGTCCAAATCATGGACACCATAGCAGAAAGCAAGCACAGCAAAACGCACGCTTACCTCAGAGGGTAGCACAACTTTCTGGAAAAGTTACCACAACTTTTCTGATTCCAAAACTTTTCTGATTGCTGTTGGTAGCGCCATGAAATTGGGCCCTAGGTCAGCATATCTTAAATATTAATTTCTGGTAAATCTCTAGATGATCCCATGTTTGCTCGAGCTCATATTTACCGGAGTCGTTCTCTGTTTGGAGAAGACGGATTTTGAATGCTATCCCCTGGGACCGTGGATCTTCGTCAGGCCTGAATATCATGACAACTTCTACGCCCACTTGCGCCTTTGCTGATTAGGCCTTGGGTACCGTTTCTAAAAAGATAAGTCTCGATACTTCGACCACAGACTGCATGCTGTTTTCATAAGTTTTATGCATGCCAAGTTCCCGCGGGAAAAAAAGTTTCCAAATGTCAACCGGGGGACCGTGGACGGATTTCAAGGGCCCTGATCGGGCTAAACACGGCATGTCTTAACACCTCGTGGATCTGGAGGGCGGTTATATTTTTTAACCGCCGATCGGTGCCAAACTAACTACACCGGTAATTACAATTCAATCGCTAAAGCTCAAGGAGAAAAGTGCAAGAAAACGGTTTTAAATGTCAGCCACCGGCCCACCGTGTGGCGCGCTTCCCTTTGAGATCAGCAACCACAGTGTCAGTTTGACGAAAGCTGGATTATTCCCGCTGCATTATCCATGGAAATACACGCAAAACAAAACTCTTGGCCCTTGTTTTCGGAGCGTGCCGTTGGTGTCATCTTTCAGGGATCTCCGCGTGTCGCTGGCCGGGGCCAAATCGCGGTACGGGCCGGGGACGGTGACGGTCGGAAAGGGGCAGGATGGATTTCAATCGTGGGCGTGAAGGGTGGCGTGTTTGTCACGGAAACAGCTGTCAGACTCGCTGCTTAATTGTCCAATACATCGTTGTTTTTGCTTGTCCTCGAGGGGCTAGCCTGATATAGACCTTTATCATGCTGCCACCATTTAAGTCGTGTTCCCTGTGTCCAATAACAGTACTGAATGATATTGTTTGTTGTTTAATGCAAGAGGAACCAGACTATTTTCCCTTCAAGCCTCGCTTTGGTTACGGTGATTTGAAAGGGGAAAACATTATCGCAACATGATAATGGTCTATAGTCCTCCTTATAATGCCTGATTGACTATCTCACTGACTACTTGACTAACTCACTCACTGGCGGTCACTTGTTTATTAGACTTGCGTAAGTCTTACCAAGGCCCGAACATTTGAAAAAAAAGTTTACCCACCTTAGAGCAAATTTACTTCGATGAGTGTAGGTGGAAAGTTTTACGATTCATCCTTTTTTGTGACCCCCCCCCAGTATGTGCGGTGGCATAACACGGTACGATACACCTATAACTTATTTGGATAAGTAATCCATTTGTTTTTATTGGAATAAATTTGAACATATCAAACGGTTTTCTTTTTTCTCTCGTTCCTTTTTATTAGGGTGACGCAGCGGAAGGCAGTATAGTTTCTTGTTTAAACCGACGCCTTTCTGATGACGATGGAGAAATTCACGTCGGTGGGTATAAATGTTGATCAAAAATGACGACTTCCTTCTAATGGGGGGGGGGGGATGTTGGCAGTTACCTTTAAACCCCTCTGCATGTGGTAACTTTGTACAATGACGTGTCACATAGAATAATCGTGAGACGTATTGAGGCCACGCAACCTCGTTCCTATGAAGTAGAACAGTGCGCTACTACTTGCCGCTCTCTCATTTGGGTATTAAAATTAAGTCTTCTCTTGATTGTTTGTGTTTAGTTGTGGTTCTAGACAAGATTGATTTCTTGTGAGTTCAACTGAAGAAAAAAACCCACATATGTGATTAGTCGCACTTTATCCTAAATGGCATGCAGCCGAATTTGAAAAGGGAGAAAAATATATACGGACAGTTAATGAAAACACAATATTGAATATGAAAATGGAAACGCATCACTTGCATTGAAAACGTATTATTGCATAATCGGGATCTTTATTGAAAAGGGTGCATACCACTGATCTCTATATAGAGATCAGTGGTGCATACCTATGTTCCCCAATACCGATGTTCCCCAATACCGATGTTCCCCGAAATCCCTACCCTATAACCCTAACCCTTACCCTCACGGGAACATCGGTATTGTGGAACATCGGGTAGACCCCATTGAAAACATAGGCTTCACTATGAGCCTCTTGGACAAAAGTTGTGAAAATCCGGGTTGCCCTTTCGTCCAAGAGGCGCACAGTGAAGCCTTTGGTTTTAATAAACTTCTTGATATGTAAGTGATGCGTTTTTATTGTCTGCTAGTAGAGTTCTGAGGAAGTTGTGCCATGATATTGTTTACGTCAAAATATGTATAGGCCTAACACGTTAAAGATTAAGAACGCCAAGTACAGGATACAATACTTGTTATTGCGACAACAAATTAATAATTGGTACAAATAAAAACTGAAACGAGGTTAGATGGTACGGCTTGATTACACGTGTGCTTTCCTACGGGAGCTAGGTGGGATTGAGGTGAAGTCGTCCACACCTGGCTCCCTTAATTAAGTACTCGTGTACACAAGCTGTGATGTCACGACGTCTCGGGCGTATTAGAAGCGACGAGGTGAAACGCTCTGACGTCATTATCCGGAGTGTCATCTGATGAAGTATCACAGTATCCACACGAGCAAGTCACGCCTCGTGAACCATGTTGTTCCTTATGGTACAATACCACAGAATTGTTTATGCGACAAACAATTAAAGGGGTAGCTCTTCATTAGGCTGTCCTTACTTTGGACATCTGATCAATAGAGCGGCGAAATCGCATAGCGAACTGAGGGGGAGACTACGCCGAGTTCAGACGAAAGCCCGTTCCGCGTAGGCTCCGCTTCATTCGCCTCGCGACTTCGCTTCTAAATATGAATCATGCGTTGGCCTTGTAAAATGGTTACCAAAAAGAGACTGCACAGGGCTTATTAACGGAGGGCGCAAATTCATGACATCATGACTGAAACTATGGGCCTTTTCGAAATCCTTCCCTCCTCTTCGTCTTCGGCATCAGGAGATTTTAGGCCTTCGATAAGGGACGCTGGCGAAATGTTGATGCATGTTCTGCTTTAGAAACATTCAATTGTTTGGTATGAGATCAAATGTAAAAATATATCAGTTTGGTTTGCTTCTCAGTGATTAAAAAATTAGTGATAAACCCGAAGCCGAAAAGAAGCAATGGTCTCGAAAATGTCGCTATTTCAATTTTCTAGTGCCACTGGGAAACATTAATCGATACCTGGGAAGTAATAACGTACGTCCGTTTGTCTTTCTTTTGCCAGTTGGCTTCAAGCCCGAATCAAGTGACGCTAATGTGGATAAGATCGTTCTGTACGGCTGTCCGCAACTGGCCCCCGGACTTACTGACAAGTATGCAGAAATCTCGTTTTTCATCTTCTTGAATTGCTCACAGAGCCTTTTTGTGATTGTGTACTTACTTTTAAACACACAGCAAGTGCACATGATATGATTTAGAATTCCTTATTAATTCGACTAATTGGCCCTATTAATAGTATGGTCGACACAATGGGATGGCGCTGTTTGATTAGGATACATGAACTCTATTGCGTATAACAATATTCATTGCGCCCTCTCATTGTGTCCATCATCTAAAAAAAGGTCATGGCTAAGTCTTTGCTACGTCCACGCAATATTTTGTATTGAAATCATCTTATCACGTTTTCAAAAATTGCCTTTACAACAAACTTGTTGTTGCACATATAGTCCGTTGAAATTTTATATTATTCATAGAAAAAAAATACAGGGCAAGCAATGGTTAGGTAATCGCCGCCCACTGATCTAAAGCCCTTTGTTCTTCCAGAAGAAAAATGTAAGGGATACCTGTCCAGAGAAGTTATAATCTTCTACTTATAATATACGACTTTCATCAATTCCCCATTAACAGAACTTGCATAGACGGGTGCCTGGGCCCCTCCATCATTTTGTATGAGTGGGAGCGGGACGGGTGTCCAGACTTCCCGTCCAAGGGAGAGGTTATCTCGGTTGGCGGACCGTTGCTCATCCACGAAATAGTCTTGGAGGTGCAGCACAGGAAAGGTAACCATGGCAACCAATTTTTCTTCGAATAGGCCAATTGTTAGCGAAAGAGGTCGCTGTAATTGAGTCTGCTTAAGGGCCCCGATTTTTTGGGGATTCTAGATGCTCTGTGGTGCGATCTGAAGCAATTTCTGACCACTTTAACCAATTTGTTTTAAGCAAAAGATGGTGGTGTACGCAAATGCTGCCTATTTTTGCGACGACACTTAAAAAAGAAAGAAAAAAGGGTTCGTTTTTTTATTGGAGTGGCGTGGGGTGGGGGAGGGGTGGGGGCATGGCCCCCGTTGGCCCCCTGGATCCGTCGTTGCCCTCATTCGGGGGAGATCTCGTTTGTCGACTTATTGTCTTAATTCTATTGAGAAATCATTTGGTACCATCCAACCTCACACTGTATTCCGATTGTAGTTTGTTTCACAAAAAGTTGGATGGTTTTTACCTAGGATGATTATTCTTCAGAGTTTCCTTCCATTTCCGAAGCTAAAGAGTCTTTATCGTTCAGAATAAAATCGCAAAAAAAGATGATATCAACCAGAATACCCATTTTGGGCCTCTCTACCGCTTTTTTTCTCTTCAAGGTGCCGATGTCTCCTCTGGACTTACTATGAAGATTATCCCTGATTCATATGTGCGGTAAGCATTTCTAATGTGACTTTTCCCTTGAATCAATGAGTGCTCACTCTACGGTGTTCATTGGTACATGTTTTTGGATTTACTTGCTATTCCTCTGAGTACAGTTTGAGCCATATGAAAATACCAAACATGTCACTTACAGGAATCTGACATGGAGCGTTTTGGGGCGATTTCATCTGTGCTCTGACGCGTTTGTGCGATTGTGACGAAGTGGTTCGGGTTAACCTATTATTAATATGGTCGGGCGTTTTGGTGACTTTGGTTTTGACGTATTTTGCCTGATTATGACCGAACCAAAGTCTTAGAACCCTCACGCATTTTGGTATACAACCCGGTGAGATTTTGGATAAGATCGCTAAAAACACGCCGCATGCTTTACAGTGTTGGTTAAAACTGCTATGCAAAAATCATCGCCCTGAACATTTCTTGGAAATGTCTGTAAAAAAATTGAAACCGAATGGACTGAAAAGTCAGATTGTAATTTGAATAGATAAAAATGGAAACATGCGACTCACGCAGCATTGTCTTTGGAATGTTAAGTGTTATCAAACAATAAAAAAATAAAGGATTTATTACATTTCTTTAGCCAGGGTATGCCCAAACAGTTTAAAACTGGTTTCCATTTGGGCCCTACATACATTACGAATTATTAAATGCAGAAAAGTGTATTAGTGAAACAGTTAGTGAAACAGACTACGAGCATTAATACATTGAGTACTTTAGACATAGGCTCCTAATTTACACACATAAAGCTATAACAGGGTGAGTAAAAAAAATCCCGAAAATCCAAGTGGCGGGACCAATTTTTGAATGAAGTTTTGTCTGTAGCACTTTCAATATCTATGACATAAAATCCCTGTCAATGAGCTTTCTTTTAGTAAAAGAATTATACAAATCACTCATGTACTTTTCAAGTTACGGAATTTTGAACACAAACACCGTTTTAAAGTTTTTTTCCACGTCTCACAAAAAAAGGTACGTTTTCTTCAGCAAAACGAAAACAATTCATATGCATCTGAATGATAACAATTTGTTTCCGTTTTGCTGAAAGAACACTTAATTCTTAAGTTCTTTGTGATCCTTTGAACTTTAACACGGTGTTTGTTCTCAAAATTCCGTAACTTGACAAGTACATGAGTGATTTGAATGATTCGTGTGCTAAAAGAAAGCTTAATAACTAGGCTTTCATATCCAATATTTTGAAAGTGTTGGTCCTGCTATTTAAGATTCGTATTTCGTTTTACTCTGTATACACAAGTTAGTCTTAAACAGTCAAGTATAAGGCATGAGTTGCATGAGTTGATGATCAAACAAGCGCAAGAGTGCTTACAATTTGTTGGAAATGCTTTTTGAAACGATTGCAGCTCGGATAAGACAGTGGAGAAGCTGATCGCCTACTACGAGACTCAGCCGGGGTACGAACCGTGCGATGAGGACATCAAGGAGGAGATACCGGCTGATGATGTTGGGCCTGAGAATGCTATCATCCCCGAGGAAGTAAGGAGAAACGTTGAAGGCCGGCACGTGGTTGAGGTGGCTCGACACTCCCCCCCCCCGTCGGACCACTTTTCATTATTTCGTCATCGGCACCACGAACTGACACTCACGCGCAAATGGGTGTTAGTTCGTGAAAACCACGTAATCAACAATTTCGGTTTCACGAACTGACACCCGGTTGTGCGCGCGCACATCGACACTGACGCAAAATAGACGATTTTCGTTTTCACGAACTGACACCCAAGCATGATGCGGCAATGCAGAACGGAGAAAAACGGTTTGACACGAACTTACTCAATCCGTATACTTGTGTGATTACTCAAAAATGTATTTAAAAAGCGTCTTAATTGGTGAAATTAAGGTCAGTGTCAGTTCGTCAAACCGAAAATGTATGGGGTGCGCTCTAAAAGTGTGGCACTGTGGAGGATGTCAGTTCGTGCAGCGCAGCCACGCGTATACATGTGTCAGTTCGTGGCGCCGATGACGATTTGTGCATAACTAGAAAAACCTAGTGTTACCTTTCAATAAATGATAAAAAGGCATCCGGCTACTACTTACTACTGAAAGCCCAAAACCTAAGGCTTACGTAACATGGGAAACATTTTAAAAGCAATCTTGATACGAAGGCCGAACGTTGCTCATTGGCGCACTACATGGCAAAGACAACAAGTTTTGGGTGCCCCACTCCTGTATGTCGGGAATTGTCACTTAAGTTTTGCCCCAGGGGTTGGGATTTTGTCACCTCAAAAGTGACAATCCTCAAACCGTGGGTGGGGCAGCCTGGGGGACGTGTGAGGGAACGATTAATAGACGCATTACATGAACATTAGGGTGCATTTTTCCCCCAGAAAAAATCTTTCCAAAGAGTGCTGTTCTAAGATTTGCAATTTTTTGTCTTCATTCGACAGGCATATGAGGGCGACTACAGATACGCAAGGGCCTACCCCGGGCCGGCTGAGGGGGCCTTCGACACCAACGCCTTGGAGCCCGAAGAATGGTGGCCGAGGGAGGCACTTCGCATGGGCCAGGTTGCTGGCGTCGCTACCGACCAGCATGGCTTGGTCTACGCCTTCCAGCGCGGCGAAAGACGCTGGCTGCAAAGGTATAAGACTTGATACAAAAATGTTAGCAGTGAAGGGAAAAATGAGGCTTAATCTTTGCAACGTGGGTGCCTCACCTAAGTAGGCCTATAAGGGACAAGTCATGCGGACAACATTGGACCTATGGTATTGGGATCAATATTTGAAGGAGTATAACGTGAATCGACAATAAATCAAGGCCAAAAAAGAACGAATTACACTGATCAGTTAAGTTGAATGAAACCATAATTGGATGTCATATAAAGCAGGAAAAAAAAGAAACTCAGCAATGAAAAGTATCAGCTTAATCCAGGTTGGTAGCAAAGGGGGATGTTTGTTCGCGTCCGTTATTTCGATCCTGACCAGAGTTCGGAAGAGTGATTTCGATTCGATGTTTGTTGTCACTATGGTTTTCATTCCTCCAACTGAACGTCGCAGTCAGTTACGTTCGGTCTGTCTTCGTGAGATTCTCTGCAATACATCGACATAGGTGGGGAATAATTATCAACAAAATAATACTCCCTCCCTCTAAACTATGGAGTACAGATCATAAAGAAAGTAAGTGGGGGATAGACTGCACATTGTGTATATATTTATTCTTTGACTGAATCGTTTCTTTTGTCTACAGTGATTTCGACAACAACCACGTGTTCAAGAAACGTAAGCGGGCTATTCAACACGACGTGGTTCTCATGATGGATCCGCATAGCGGATACGTGCTGGATTCGTGGGGAGCAGGGAGGTAGGCACACTCACAAAGGATTAGAGACATTGATGTGACTGGATAACAAACAATGAGCATTCAAAAGAGCATACTTGGCTCTTTGTGGTTATACACTGTAAAACATAACTATGAACACACTATAAACGTTTTTTTTGCAACAGTATATGAACGTTTTAACGCGTTTAAGGGGAGAGACGTAAAAGGCTTACAGGCTGAATTTGGATTCATGATGCAGATATACCAAAAACAAAGCCTCTAGCAGCCGGTTGAAGTTTTGCAGCTGCTTGTAACTAAAATCTGACTTTCAGGAAAACAAATTATAAACATTCTGTTTATATTTGAATAAACGCCTCGTGAACGCTTGTTTCGAAACACTAAACAGTGTTTAAAAGTTAAATGTATTGTGACAAAATTGAGCCTAGCCCCTTTACTGCATCTCTCCCCTTAAATGCGATTAATTGTTTATAGACCGTTACCAAAAGCTGTTTTTATATAATGTGTTCAAATGTTAAACGCTGGGTTCTGACGTTTACAGGCCTGTAATTGTACTTGACATCCAATATGAATTTGGTCATAACGTGATTTAAGGCGTCGAGGGCTCCTTGATTAATTTTCTATTGTGCAAAAATTGCTGTAAAGGCCAGCAACTTATAATTTCGGCTACTTCCGACATAGGGGGTCGTGTCACAAATGCTTTATGAGTATTTTGAGTATTTTGCCTGAACAGAATTTGAGTATTGGGGGAGATCAAATGGGAATATCTCTGAAAAACAGTGGCCTCAAGTATTAGGTTGTAAAATTGGTAAAAGTGGGTGAGTTGGGAGTTATTACTACTGGTACTAGGTTGGGTGGTGCTGCTGCTATTGTTTTTTTTTCGACATATGTCAAAATGTTTGGGGGTTTCCCTGTCCCAACTGTGCAAAATACACCACTGCAGGCATCTTCAATTTTTGAACCCTTTTTCTTTTCAAATTCTCGAAATGTAGATTCTTCATGCCGCACGGTATCACCATAGACCATGAGGGTAACATGTGGCTGACCGACGTGGCTTTGCATCAGGTGTTTAAGTTCCCCGCCGACATACGGGAGAGAATGAAGCCCAGTCTGGTGCTGGGCAAACGGTTCCAGCCCGGCTCGGACTGGAAGCATTTCTGCCAGCCCACCGACGTGGCCGTGGACAGCAAGACCGGGAACTTCTTCGTTGCTGACGGGTAAAGGCAAACTTGTGTGACTCGTGACTCGAACTCGGACTCAATTCCGCTTCGAGTCCCATTTTACATTGACTCGGACGCGGACTTGAGTCACGCAGACTCGGACTCGGACTTGGACTCGACCCAGCAGGCTCGGACTTGGACTCGGGCTCGACCTGCCCGAGTCGCGGGACTCGAGCAAAATCACCACAAATCACTTACATTTTTTTAGGGTGGAACAGCCAACCATATCAATTTCAGTGGTCGATTAGTTGAAGACCCCGGCACTTGTAAGCAGGAGGTTGTTGTTGTTGTTGGTTGGGCTCCAAGCCAAACAAGCTTGTGATTTGACTTGTGATGAGTTTCTGATAGCACTGAGTGTACAGTGCTGCCAAACTTATGCCGATATAAGGCTGGCAGGTTGAAGTGCGCAATTTGGACTACATAACATACGTGAAATTTGGACAACATAAAATACGTGCTCCTTAGGTTGTTTTGGGCATGCCTTAGTTAAGATAGCCTGATTCGGACTGCAGGTCACGAATTAGGCTATAATCCATAAAGGTGAAAGATACCATATCTCAAAATAGAAGTCAAAATTTCATATGACACCGGGCAAAACCAAGTATTAAAAGCAGGAAAGTGTTTTCCCAGTAATTATAATTATCAATGCATAAGCATATGCCTACTTTACCTTTTACTTTGTTTTCAACTTAACAGGTATTGCAACAGCCGCGTCTTGAAGTTCGCTCCGAATGGATCTGTGCTCATGGAAATAACTGCACCTTCCAGTGAGTCATTAAGTTAATGAGTGACATTCTCTTAGATTTTGTCTTTAATTGCAAAGCTGACAAGTGTTCATAACACAAAACTCCGAGTTTTGGGCACAGTGTGGCGTGATTTGAAGCCTTGAGAATTTAAAGTGACTTCTTCTTTTACTCCGTATCATGTTTGCTAACAATTGCTCGATGATTCCGTTTAATTCGAATACAAAAATCAAATAAAATGACATAATCGTTTTAGAATGTAGGCAGGGCTTGCCTTTGCTCTCCACAAAATAATACTTATTAAAGTCTGACTTTTGCTGCAATATCTGACGAATGTTTTACTAAAGTTTTCTGAATCATTCAATCAGACGAGAAGGAAGTGATACCAAAAAGAACCCTGCTTAATAAAGTAGGCTACACATTGAAAACAATAACATGGCGAAAGGCCTCTGGTCAAACTCGCCAAGAATGCGGATCTGAACGCAATTTTATGACATCCCAGCAAGTTAGCGAATTTTGCCATGAATGTTTGATGACAAAGTTGCTTCACATGTATCGTGAACACAAGGTTATACATTTTGCAAGTCCCGTCCCTCCTTGTGCTCCCCGCTTACAATTTGTAGAAGTCGAATGTGAGCAATTACTAAACGCATATTGAGTGCTCCCCCAAGCAAAATGAGGACCCCACATTTCGCCCTGCCAACTTGACTCAAGTTACACCACTAAGTTCAAACCGGCCTTAACCATGCAAACTTCTGCACGGTCTCGGGAGTTCAAGATTTTCTTTTTGTTTTCTCACCAGACCCAGACCAACCGGATGAACTGAGGACGTTCGATATCCCCCACAGCCTGGCCCTGGCGGAAAAACGCCAGTTGCTGTGCGTGGCGGATCGTGAACACGGCCGCATCCTGTGCTTCAACAGCACGACGGGGGAGTACGACCGGCAAATTGCAAGCGAGGACTTCGGCGGTAGGGTGTTCGCTATCGCTTACGATGATGAAGAAGGTGAGTCCATACACCAAGCCTTCAACGCTTTCTCCAAGAAAAAGATACCTGATTTCCTGACAAAATTGCTTTGTTGAATTTCTCTTTTCACGTCGAGATAAAGCAAAACATGTTCAATTATCTCCAAGTGTGAAAAGGAAGCATATCTCGACTCACAACTCCTTGGATCTGTAACAGATTACGACATGTTTGATTTTGAAATAATCGCTGAATTGTTTTCTCTTCAAAATAAACGTCAATTGGATGCTTCGAAGCAAAGTCAGGGTAACATGAACGAGGCATGATGCCTTATTGTTAGTTGACTTGTGACTGTGATTTGTATGTGTCAGACGTGATTCATTCTCTTGATCATGGACTGTTTTAAACATTATTGTAAAATAAGAACTCTTGTACCTTGCAGATGTACTGTATGCAGTGAACGGTCCTACAGACGATGAGTACTACCCAACTCAGGGCTTCACTATCGATTTGGATAGTGGAAGAATACTGTCTACCTGGAATCGTCCAGCCAGCGATCAAGAGGTACACGGATTTCATTGCAGTTTGCTATCCATGCATGCTCGTATCATAAATGCTGCGTTCGGGCGAGTCACTAAAGCCACCATTGTGTAGGTTATGTTTTACAACCAGTACCGGGTTAAATGTTCCGTATAGGCCCTAGGCACAAATATTCCGTAGGCCCTCCTCCGCCCTAGAAACCGGCACCAATTTCATGTTTATTCTAAGCTGTACTCAGCAAGCCAGGCCAAACTGGTAGCTCTAAAAGGCTGTTGGCACCGTGCTTCAGAACGACAAATTTGTACACGTACATGTATATGCAGCTAACTACACCGTCAGCGTCAGTTGGTGAAACCGAAAAATCTGAGAGAGACGCTAAAACTGTTAAAAAGTTTTTGTGTGTGAGCGTGCCATGAGTTTGTATCTGCATTCAATAGCGGGTCCCCAATTCCCGATGGTCTCCAATTTGGCGATCGTGTACTAAACATAATGGGAGGTCTTCCTAAAAAGTACAAACACAAGAGAGACAATAGGGGGTCCCCGATTGTAGGCAAATACACACTTGGGTATTTGTGTGTTTGTTTCATGGCACACTGCGGTCTTTTCGTAGGCCCTCAAACTTTTCGTAGGCCTCCAAGTTTTTCGTAGGCCTAGGCCCAAGGAACAGTGCCTAATGTGCCTATTAGTAACGACCGGTTTACGACCGATGATTTTAACATAGTCATTGACTATAATGCGGATGCGCCAGTCGCTAACTGCAAATTTCAATATTGCCTTCAAAACTTCTTCATCTATTCCACAAAGTTTTAAATTTTGTTTGCCATTCTGGATTCGTTCTTAGCAATTCGTGGAGCCCCACGACCTCGCTGTCTATTCAGGAGCCGTCTACGTGGCCGACGTTGGGGCGAATCGGGTCTGGAAGTTCTGGGACGAGGCTACACCTAGCAACGAAGTCTGGCAGAACACGCCGTGGAAAAATTAAACAGATCGCAAACGGGACACTCACTAGAATCTCATTAGGTTGTGGTTGTTGTTAATATTGTTTCATGAATTGCAAACCTTTTAATAATGTACGAGTCTCGGTCTGTTTGTATTACAAAGCTAAATGTTTTTGAATAAGTAGTATAGTACGAGCAAAATACACCCCAATTGGTGGAGTGTGATAGTTTTGACTATTATTTCAAGACAGCACAATATCCGGGATTGTCGGGTCAAGCTTATGGTCGTCTACGGTTTGTTGCCGAGTTAAAAAACATACAATACGTAGTGTCCAGAGTCATATTATAGGCTAAATTAAACCAAATAATAGAGTCACTATGCGGGGCCCAAATGAGGCAAATGCATAAAGAAGTCATTCTCGGCTTCCTAGAACAAATGATGAAAGCAATTCCTAAAACTGAAGACGCAGATAGAAAAATCTACCTTCAACGGTACCATAAGACTTTGAATGAGTAAATACCGAATATTGTAATAAAGAAGCCACAAAGATAATTTGTTTCTAAATCGCAGACATTGTGAAAAGTGGTTTGGAGAGATATAATGAAATGTATGTTATGTAATAATAATAGAATAAACACTGCAGAAATTACTTTAAAATTATCTTTTTGGTTGGGATGAAAAGCAAAATCAAATATGGATTATTTGTTCTATAATTAGCAGAGGGGAAAATTAAGAGAAAGGAATAAATTAAATGCATGTTATGTAAAATATGAATTAGTTAAATATAATTTTGTGTAAAAGGAGAGTGAGATAACCATTGGAAGAGAAGAAAAGAAAGTAAAAAATATATAATAAAAACAAGTAGAAAGTGTGTTCTTACAAAGCTAGCACCTTGAGTTAGATACATTTTTTAGTAAAGTCTTATGAAATTGTCCATTCTTATTTTCCAAAGTATTATGACTGTGTTTTGGTAACGAGAGATAAAAACGAATATTAATCCATATTGGTTTCAAAACGTCATATTCAGGGATTGGCTTGGCTTTAAATACCGAGTCGCTATACGTGGTTTTCTTGATCATAAAATCAAAATAGTTAGACAGCAAAGTTTTATTTTTGTGTGTTTATGTATAGTTAATTGCAAAAACAAAATCCCATCTTATGTACAGAAAGATGATGTCTTAGCAAAAATGTATTTGAAGTACACGGCTAAATGAAATTATAATGTGTCATGTATATTGGTGTACATACCAGATGAAATTTGAGACGAATTATGATGTACGTACTTCAAAGAGAAAATAAAAATACTCCGTTGAAGCAAATAGAACCTAATGACTTATTTCAAGCTGTATGTTTTGTTTTTAAATGTGTGTCCTACAAATATTTGTCTGCGACAATTGTGTATAAACCAGAGAAAACTAAGTAATGCAACTTAATTTTGGGACCAATGTATCAAGGGGGCGTAGTTCAAACATTTATCATACACGACTGTAACGTACATTTTACGGCCATTGCATCTTGAAAAGGCTGACATTCGAGCAATATTTCACATTTATTACTCATTTGAAAGAAATAGTACAGAGATTGGGGTAATTTAAAAGGTAATTAACTAGGCACTGGGATAAAATATTCGGGGGGGGGGCATGGCCACTAACATCCTATGGGAATATGTCGGATTGTGTGCATGATCGTCCGATGTGAACAGCTCTCCTTTGGAAGATGGTACCAGCCCCCCCCCCCCCCCCCCCCCACACACACACACACACACAGACACACGCACACTTAAAACGATTTTACGGTCGATTGCCGGGAGGGGAAAAAAACCTGTCTACATTTCAGCACTAATTTTCGAGTGCCCTTTTCACGAACCCTGTGTAGAAGCCAGAGAAATTTAAGTCTTGCAAATTCGTTCTGAAACCAGGGGGCGCTGTTCAAAGATGCATCATACACAGGTATGATGTGCATTTTTACGGCCATTATATATACAATTGCTTTTACTTGAAAAGGGTGGCGGTTAATCAATATCTCACAGTCAAGTACATCATTTGAAACAAATAGAGCAGAGATTTGGGTAAATTGTGTTATTCATAAGCAACGGGATTATTAATGAGGGAGGGGGAATCGCCAATAACGTCCTCCTGGAATATGCAAGTGATGTGCTGTCTCGGGGAAACAGAGACTGGCGCATTTAATAGCCAACATTTATATATCTTAGGGAAGGTGTGGCTACTGTATGGACCACCGGGGCAAGTGGACCGCTCTTAAGCTTTTTGTTGTTTTGTATGCTGCACTGCCCTCCATTGGTGAAACAAAGCCATGTGGCCTTTGACCTAGTAGTGTTCTTTCTTAAACCACAGAGTTTACATGTGTGGACAAATGATGATGTATTACCTGTGTCTTTATGAACGGGATTCAGGGTGTTGCACTACATGCAATGAGCGCGGTCGCCTTAACACCGCCAATTTCTTCAACTACAAAATGTGATGTCGTCCCCGGAGCATTTAGACATTTAGTTTATTACTATATTGTTTAATTAGATGTTTTCTAATAACTAAAATTTCCTAATCTTGAGGTCCAGAGAGATTGAGTACATTTGTAGAAAAAGTAAAACTTGATGACAAACAGTCAAAGGTTCCTGGTACTTTCAGTTTAAAGATTTTAGGAAGATTTTGAAAAGAAAACCTGGGAATTGAAAGGGAAAATGCCACATACACGAACCCATCGAATCGATGAAAGATAAAATGACTACTGTTGGTTACGGTGATAGAGAGCTGCTTGTTATTAGGCCAAAAAAAAAATATTCGGTCTCTGGTCAGTCCGAAGTTCCGGAATTGACGCGGGGGCGCGGTTTTTTTTTTCTTCTAGCTTTGATTGTACAGACAAGGTGGGTACTATTTTGCGTTTTTGGTGTCCTCATGTACATTGGTGTCCTCCCATTCCTTGGTGCTCTTTGTTAAAAAAAAATGAGGAGATGCGGAAATAGAGGGCGCTGTTGGAGCTACCGCGGAACATTTTGGAAAAAAAAAGATCGACGCGGATGATTAAAATCGACGCGCGCGCTGACCAGAGACCGACTGATTTTTTTTTTTGGGCCTTATCGGATTTTTTGTGCTTTCCGCCTTTCCGACAAAAACTGACATGGATATTGAGTCGGGAGGATTGGACTACTTTCAGGAAAAGCTCATGAAGTTTATTATAGACTCTCAACAGATGAAGCAGGCGATTACAAAATCCTCAAATCAGCACTACTGAAGCGGTTCAGCTTACTGCAGATGGATTTAGACTGAAGCTCCGAACAGCCAGACCAGCTGGATGTAGTGTTCAGTTGTTTTTTCTTTTTAAGAAAGACAACCAAAATGTTGATACCACGGCCACGATTGCTGAGCATATCTTAAAGCTCGTGGTGGCATGTTTGGTAACCCATTCATTTCCAGAAAACCCCCAAACCAGAAAAGTTTTAGTCAACCTAGGAAGTTGGGGTTTCTTATGCGGCATCTCCTACAACATCTCGAAATCCACACAAACCATTGGTAACTTGTTACATTTGTCATAAACAACGTCAGTAGCCAAACGGTGTACATTTGCAACACTCGGCTCAATTGCACTCTGTCGGTGGTATGCCTGTCACAAAGTTGGCCATATTACCAAGAAAATGTTATAAGAACAGAAATTCAGTTGCCTCTATGCTCACAGAAGGTGAAACTCATAACACCGACACACCGTCACCACTTCCTGATCCTTCTGAAAGCACAGTTTCCTCTCGTTCTCGTTGTCAGTGTTACACTCGTGTCTGTAAGAACTCACCAGAAAACTCTGAGAAGATTGCCTGTATGGTAAAGCAAGTTATCTTGTCTAGGTGCATGTTGTTTTGGAAACAATCATGATCATGCAACTCTTAAATGTGGTAATTTTACCAATTATAAGTGTTGCATGTGGTGCTAACATCGCAAAGAAGATGCCTGTAACTTCTGGTAGAGTGGTTCAACATTATAAGTGTCTGTACTCAGGGACGGTGGATGTAGCGGCGTTGTGATTAGGTGTGACCTAGTTTCTGATGATAACTTACTGCTGATCGATGAGGTCAAGACTTGCATCATTATTGATGGGACGGCTCGACAAGTTTCTGCTGCTGTGGAACCAGTAAGTAGTCCTTGCGTCACTGGAAAGACAGAGGTTTGTGTATGACCTCATTTTAGATAACGCCTTTGGTGTTCCAGCTCCAGACAATCCAGATGAGCCAAAGGCCTGCAGTCTCCAGACGAGATCTCAGACGAAGCCTCAAGATACGAAGCCATTTCGCCCCCTTAAATTTCAGAAGCCAATGAATGACATCGTTACCGCTGAGTGATTGAAGAAGGCCCAACAGGAGGATCCTGTATAGATCCTGTCGAAATAGAGGTTGGACAATTCTTGTCTGATGGCCCAAGAGCGCTTCAAAAATCTAGTGCTAGGTACAAACACCATTATGATACAGAAATGAAGTTCTCCTTCAGTGAAAAGGTTCCTTTCTATCCTTGAAAAGATCGGCTCCGTGAATTGACTTAATGGAAATCCAAAGTGTTCCATGCTAATCTACTAAAGAAGACTGTGAAAGACCCGAAGAGCTGGCCACACATTGCAGCAGCCTAGAAATTCCTAGTACAGATTTTCAGTGTATCTTTGAGATAGTAGGTACTGCTGTCATTGAGTCTGAATATGAAGATACCTCTAAATCTCACAACGCTCTTTCGATGTCTAATAAGAATTTTTTTCCAGATCCATCCCTTTGTTTGTTTTGTTTTGTGTATCCAATGTTTATATGTTGCAGTATCTTGGTTGTATTTTTGTCTGACCAAAGGAAAGTGCACAAAGCGTTTTGCTCAACCTTATACCTAAATGTTATCATTTAATTTGCTACTTTATTATTAATCACTGTTTACATATCAAATATCATATTATTGTACTCCGTATGCAATTTATATACATGTTTGTACATAATTATTGTAAACAATGGCATCATTGTAATAAATGTCACAGAATTGAATTAAAATTTTACATGCAGCCAAGGAGACGTTCAAGAATGTCAACAACAAACCGGCTCTCCATCCATATCAACAAAGTGAAATCAACGGACTCTTCGGGAACTACCAAGAAACTCTAACCGATCTGCCTGGGAGGACCACCTTGGGAAACACAAAATCACCCTTCACAATAATGAGCCTATACGAAGTAAGCCATAACGTTACTGCGTAATTTAAAATTTTGATCGGAAATTGTTTACGAAATTTGACTTGGAAGGCAACTTTGAATAGACATATTGTAAAATTTGAAATTTTAGAATTATTGAAAGTGTGTTTGGTAAATTGCAGATTTTTGGAATTTGGAAAAAAATCTAAGATTTTGAATGTTTAGGAATTGGAAATACTCTCAATATAATTTGAAAGAGAAATTTGATTGTGGAATTTGAGGTACAATAAATAGAATTTCGAGGTAAATTTGGTACATAGTAAATTACTATAAGTTTCAGAAAAGCCAAATTTTGAGAACTAATTTATTTTGAAATGATTGGAGTTTGTGAAAGCCTTTTACACCTGAATTTTGAAGGAACTTGAACCAAATTTGCAGGAGTGGATTTCTGAAAATGTAACATTTACATTCGATTAACGTTTCCAAAACAAAACTTGTAGTTATTGTCATTGTGGATTTGTATATATGTGATTTTTTTTGGAATTTGTAAGATTTTGTAGTAGATACACGTATTGTACCCGTATTGTATATAACACACTGAGAATTGCGTGTTTTTTAAAAACTTATTTCATGGGGGTGTATGCCATGTTTCCAAAATCTTTTTTTTTTCTCGTCCGACGGAGTCACCAATAGTGACTTTGTGACAGAGACACTAGATGAGTAGACAACAACTAAAAACAATTTATTTGGGGGAGGGACTTTGGCATGCCCCTCCCTCTCTAAACACAAACCTATCCTCAACCCTTACCCTACGTCCACTGACCCGAAACACCAACCTCGAAACCACCGTCCTCGAAACCCCATATCCATCAACCTCCAACCCCTTCATCGTCAACCCCCACCCACCCTCAACCCCCATCCCGACCGTGAAACCCACTCATCTCAACCACTCTACACTCGACCTTTGAACCCCAGCCCTAAATTTGATCATCCAGACTTGCAAGAAAAAAACAAAAAACAAACATGCAACAGCAATTCAAAGTATATCATTGACTTTGTCTGGCATAATTTTAATATCATATTAGAGCAATTATAATTTTAATCAATTAAAGATTAAAGTTCACAAAAGTCAAATTGTTTATCGTTCATAACAACGACAAATTATTTCAAATTCAAGTAAAACAGTCAACCAGGCGTCGTGCTGTTACTTTCCTGTGAATTCGATTGACTTTGTCCAAACACAGAGTGTTTTACAACCCTTGTTGAACCATAAATGAATTCTAGCCAAAGGCGTTTTAAAAGCGGCATGTAGTTTAATTTCCACATTATCAAATGTTGAAGTTTTCATTTCTTAATTACATTTTCTGAGTAGTTATATTCCATACTTATCACATGATTCGTGTTGTATGTTACTTACCTGTTAAACAAGCGATATAATCAAAATGTACCATAAATTAAGCAACACTTTTCTTACAATCAATTATAAGCTGTTAAATGTATTGTAACTGGCAAACGTGAGACAAAAACAATGCTTTTTTTCTATGATAGTGTCATATTAACAACCAACAATTAAATTGCATTGAATCATAAACAACACTTAATTTTTATCAAAATTAAACTCTCAAAGTCAATTAGCTGCAATTAGAAACAATCAAATTAAAACATGTGAAATTCTCATTCACATGGAAACAAAAAATAAGGTTAGCTATGAAGGTTGTGAATGTTCTTAGTCATGTGGTGCAATTCAAATGCAACTGCTTAAATTAAGTAATTAATTGATTAATTAATTAAAATAGCTTATAAACAACTGATGCTCGGGCGTGTCTCCACCTACATAAGAAAATGAGTAAAGCCCTTAATCCATAAATACACTTTGTTTTTAATTAATTGAAGTTGGATGTGAGAAATGTATTTGGAAATCAGGGTTAAACCGGTGTCTGTGGACATGCTTCCGAGGGCATGAACCAAGAACAAATAATCAGAAACCTAATTTATACAACGAATGCAATCCGCACCAATCCGCACCGATCCGGGCACTTTCAGCGCATCTTAACAAAAGCGCAACCGATACGTTTGTGTGAATATGTGGATGACGTATCGACATTGCAGTTATTATATTTAGTTCCAATTTGACCTTTTCTAAACTACTCGTCGGCCGACTAGTCTAGTTTACAATCATTTTAATGTAAGAAATACTATGATCTGAATGTATATGCATTCAAAAAAGTATCTCTGAATTGCTGTGTGTTTGACGGTCAATGTAATCATTTGTCATAGTCAACAAAAAATGACAATTCACAGGTTTTTAAATTAAATGGCGTTTCGTCTATTTCTACATTATTAGGTGTATGTACTAAAGTTCCAAACATGATAACGATTTCAGAACATTAAGTAAGTATGTTATTAGATTCTTTTTAAATGATGCTTATACACAGTGCTACAATTTAGCACGCAGAACCATTCGTGAATACAATGCCGTACTAAACGCGCGAACAACAGTTCCAAGTAACTTTTTGATAACGAAATATTTTAAATTTTACACTGTTTCGGGTAAACGGAGAAGCGATTGAAAATTTGGCAAACGTCTTCACGTGTATATTCGCCTGATTAATTTTGTTTACTCGGGCCAAAGGAGGACGCCACTGAATGAGGAGAAATGTTCTGTGGAAGTACCATGGACCCTACCGTATATAGTTAGATACACCGTGTCTCCATTCTGCAGAGCCAGCACCACGCTAGCAGACACCTGACCATGTTGACTTGATGCTTCATGGGTAGTAATTACCCTGTAGTTGTTTTTAACAAGATGTACATACAGGTTATCGCTGCTGATAAACTTAAGAACAGAAAACGTAAATGCGTAGGTGCCCGGCGCATTACAAGTGAATGTACCGGTATCGAGATCGAAGATGGTACCCGGCATAAGCGTCTCGGTCTCCTGGAAGGGCAAACGGGTGTCGTGACTGCTAGAGGTACCCGAGGGGCTCGTCCTCACCACGGTGAATGCCACCCGCTGGTTGGAGTCGTCTGCTGTCTCCCCTGGCTCACCCTTTTGACCTTTGACACCGGTTTCCCCGGTTGCTCCATCTAAACCTGGTGGCCCTCTCGGACCTTTCTTGCCGGGCAGACCCATCCCGTCGTCACCTTTAGGCCCATGCTTCCCAGGTGCTCCCTGCTCACCCATAGGTCCAATCTGACCAATCTCACCTTTTTGACCTTGCTGACCTGCATCGCCCTTTGACCCCGGCTGACCATACGGCCCCATCGGTCCTGCTGGCCCAGGCAGACCTGGTATGCCGGGTATTGCAGCAGGTCCCTGGCAGCACTGCTGACACACCGGAGGCGTACCATCACCGCCCGAAGGAACCTGCCTAGTAACTGAAGCTCGGAGCTTGACAGATTTACCCAGAATGAAGGCGATTGAAAGCATAGTTGCCACACAAATCTTCATCTGTAAAGAAAAAAATAAGGGAGAGGGGTCGAAAAATAATGCGAACAAAAGGGGAAGAGAAGATAAACTATTGGGGTCAGAAAACCTGGGAAATAACATCAGGGTAAGACTTTTGAAACTCTTAAAAGAGTAACATATTGTTGATGTCTTGAGAAAAAAACCAGTATTTTGTCATAATTAGCTGTTGCAGCAAGTCCGCCGAAACAGCTCTTTGTTTTCCTTCAGATTCTTTTTTATTTTAAGCTCTTTCGGCAAGTGTGCCGAAACAACTCTTGTTTTCCTTCAGATTTTTTTAGGCTATTGTTTTCATGAAAGTTTTAGCTGCTTCGGCAGAAGCCGAAACCCTTTTTTGTTTGCTTTACAGTTTTAAAGCTATATATAGAGTCCATCATTTGCAGCTATCTAAAAAGTAACTGGCGTAACTATTGTTGAAAAGCATACTTGGTTGAAAGATAGTAAGAGAACTAAACTCCCTGTGAAAGTTTTCTTTCTGGCAAGCTGTCATTTTGAAGAAATCAACGAAAGAAGGCCTTCCAAAAAATGTCTGTTAGTAGTTCGTTGTTTCTATTCGGCGAAGTGCACGCAAGCTTTGGCACGACGCACATGCGCGCGGGGTTGCTATAATTCGTCGGATCGGTGCTCGACATCGCGTAGCTGCAATCGGCTCAGTGAGAACGTTTTTTTGGACGCTGAATTCAGGCCCAATTCAACACATGATTCAGCAACGTTTTTCTCAGAATATACAGCTGAAGATGAGCTGAAATTTCATCGGGTTAGTTGTGCAGCTGCACCCTTCGTCATTTTTTGAGCACTTTTGTTGCTTCAAACGAACAAAATGCAGAAATTACAAATGATGGACTATACCTTTAAGCGGAAAAGCCTTTGTTTTTGTTAAAACTTTTGTTCTTTCTCGTTTTTTTTGTGTGGTTTCGCCTCAAATCCCGGGGACTTTGTACATGTTTTATCCCACCCTGTACTTTTGACATAAACAAGTCACATCCCCAAGAAACTTAACATAGGTAAAGACCCAATTGTGAACTCCTGTATCGAAGATGGACGTCATGATGACGTCACCACATGTCATGTGACTTGATATTAAAGGAGTACTTTTATAAGTCCTATATCTAATGTACTAGGTTCGATTTGGTTGTACCTTGATGTGTATATAAACCGAGATGTGTTATATATTACATTTTAAGTGACGTCATTATGACGTCATCACATGTCATGTGACGTAACATTAAAGGGGCATTTTTCTAAGGCTAAGTATCGATAGAACAATAGGTCTGATTTGGTCATAACTTGGTGAATCGGTAGGTATACAGACCGGGATGTGTTTCAGATGAAAATTGAAGTGACGCCACATTAAAGAGGCATGTTCAAATCACTACATCTACAGATTTGCATGTTCAGCTTGTTAAAGCTTCGTAAGTACCTAGACCGGGGTGGGTTATGGATGAAAATTAAGTGACGTCATTGTTACGCCATGACATGTCATGTACATCACATGTGATATCGATACAATTTTAAGTACAGTACGTCATCAGGTGTCAAGGAACGTTAAATTTAAGATGCATTTTTCAAAGCCTTCAGAAGCACAAGTTCGATTGGGTTGAATCTTTGTAGATACAAAGAGAGTGGGTGTGTTTTAGAAAATTGAAATGCGTCAAGATGATGTCATCACATGTCATGTGACGTCACGCTAAAGGGGCTTTTTTCTGAGGCCTATACGTAAAGAACCAAAGGCTGTATTTGGTTGTGACTTGATGTTTCTATACCGGGATGTGTTATAGATGAAAATTTAAGTGACATTATGCTGACGTCCTCACATGTCATGTGACGTCAAATTAAAGCGATATTTTTTGCTAAGGCCTATATTTAAAGAACTGTATGTCCACTTTGGTTATAACTTGATATGAACCTAAACCGGGATTTGCTAAAGATCGGAATTCAAATGACTCATAATGACGTCATCACATGTCATGCAAGGTCACATTAAAGGTTATACTGAATTGTGTGTTCAATTTGGTTGTTCCTGGATAGATACCTTAACCAGGATGTGTTATACGTGAACATTCGAGTGCCGTCATGTTGAAGTCATGACATGTCATGTGTCGTCACCTTAAATAGGCATTTGTAATACATTGAATTAATACATGAAATTGTGTGACATCATGACGGTGTCATCACAAGACCTGAGTCATTTCAAACAGTTGAAATAGCTGTGTTTGTCTACGTGACAGATACATTTCTAGTTTCTATATATTTTTAAAAATTCAAATACCTTCATATTTCGCACAAACTATTGATAGAACTTTATCGATCAAACAATTAAAAAATGTTATCAAAATTCATCGCTAGAGGGTGCTATATTACTTTGTATGTGATTTCGCCCCGAATTTGAATTCCCCCGCCAAATTGACACTGATGAAGCACGTATGGTGATTAAATAATATAATATCAAAATTCATCGCTAGCCAGGGTGATATATTAATGTTTTAATGTGATTTTGCCCCGAATTTGATTTCCCCACAAACTGGCACTGATGAAGCAAGTATGGTAATTTTAAAAATACTTTGCTTTTTTCCCCTGCAGGAATTATAAAAAAAATACCCCAAACAAAGAAACTTTTGTAGCGGGTGAAAGATAAACACGGCATTTTTCGCAAATGGAGGCCAAATTGGGGAGTCAGCATGCACTGTAGTTGGTCACATGACCAAGTATTTTGTCTAAAATGGATACTTGATAGGTTTAAACAAAGGAAACATGGTTTTGACCGTTACAATTTCATATTTCCATGCTTTACACAAACGTGTCCAAATTGTATTATTATTTGTGTTTTTTGATTGGTTTTCATTGTAACGGACATTCCACCGAATTTCTTTGGTACCATATTAACCGCTGTAAAAGCTAGGAAGAGAACATTCAAGAACTATTATATAAGACGTTTCATATTTGCATATTGTATCCCCGCTCCTGATAGGGTTAAATGTTCTGTTTCAGTTCAAATATTACCCAAGGCGTTAGGCACATTTATATTTGTTTTAACAAGCGTCGATTCTGTCATAAATTAAAAAAAAATGCTTTATACAATCAGACCTCTAATCTTGAGCGAATTAGGGCGCTGTAATGACTCCATTCGGGTTAGCAATTTAAGTCGTTTTTTCATAATTTGGGTATAGCTCAAATCACATTGCAACGGATGTTTTTTTTTTGAAATTAAGTAAACTTAAAAGACCGCTTGAATGAACGGAATTTTCCTAGTGTTTTACCCCCAAAATGGCGTCATTATAGCGTCTTTATTCACTCATATAGCGTGGTCTCCTGTTAAATGAAATTAAATTCGTTGCAGACATTTCCATGAAGGAGCCGTCCGCAAAGTATAAATGCACGAAATGCCAACTTTTTTAGAACCCCTCCCCCTGTAAGCATGGCATACGCAGTGGTCGCCATCGTACGCATACGCATTCCGGTGTACAATGCATGTGCTGCACATGAACTGTATTTGTGTATGAACATGTTAAAGTATTTCAAGTGCGCTATGCTTGTCGGCTATCAAATAATAATCTTTTTTAGATTGTGTAGTTAGGTTAATAAACTTACCAAAGTAGTTAACGACGTTTAAAACAACAAGAGTGTCGTGAATAGAGGGCAGGGTTTTGATCGTTTTGTGGGAAAAATTGGGGTAAAACGATAACGAAGACGACAAAATGCAACGCGAAAATCATGATGGCGATCACCGAGACGCACCCGTGAATGCGCAAAACCGCGTTGATTCACATTGTTGTAAAATGTGTACAAAATCGAATTTTCTGCCAAAATATACTGTTCAAAGTAATATAAAAACAATATATAAAGATTTATAGATTGAACAGAAACCAGCTGTATAGGTTGCAGAAGTTGTTTGGGAATGAAAAACAAATCATGACACTAGCTGCATGTATTTGACCAAAAATAAAACTAGGGCCCGTGCTCACAATCGCCTTTTTATTAGGGCCCTGTCACACTTCTGCGTATCCTAATTATTATGAGTTGCGCATTGACTTTTTTTCATACGCAGTCGTACGCACACTACGCACCTCATATGCATCTCTATCGTTTTATGTAAGTTTTATGTACGCAGGCATACGCATGGTACGGCCCAGTACCCTGGATAGTTTTGGGCATGCACAAAACTACGCTGCGTACGCTGTTACGCAGTTCATAAGTTATAAATACGCAGCGCATTGGTCCCGCATCGGTCGAGCGCAGTACGAGTACGCTATGTGTTCGTGGGGGATAAGCCGTTCATACGCGGCAATACGCTGACCTCCTATATTGGACGTATAAATAGCGACGTATTGCACGAATAAGTACCGCTCGTCCTGCGAGCGGGCAGCGCTCATTCAAACAATTTCGACGTTTTGAGCGTACGGCTGCGTATTGAAATTTTTTGATAAGGAACTCATAAGGAATTAGGATACGCGAAAGTGTGACAGGGGCTTTATGTCGCGGTCTCTGGCGTTTGAGGACCGCTAAATTATTTGAATACTTTGACTTATGTGCGACGCACATCTAGCGTACAAGTAACGAATTCAGCGCATCCATTGCGTATGAGATGCGTATGAGTTGCGTATGCAGTGCACAACATTATTTTTCGGGCTGCGAATAGGTCAGTATGCAGTGCATACGACTTATGCCGACCGCATGCTTGACGCACTTCTGAGCGTATTCCCGCCGCATTTCCGCCGCTCGCCTTTCAGCGTGCGTTGCATCTGCGCTGCAAGTACGCTATGTATACGTCCAATACAGGCGGCTCATTATGCTGACGGGGTGCGTCACGAACACATAGCGTACTCGTAACGCACACGACCGATGCGGGACCGATGTGCTGCGTATTTATAACTTATGACCTGCGTAACAGCGTACGCAGCGTAGTTTTGTGCATGCCCAAAACTATCCTGCGTACTGGGCCGTACCATGCGTATATCTTCGTACATAAAACCTACACAAAACGATAG